AGAGTTGGTGCTTCAGATGAAAAGAGTGGGGTGAGCGGGATGATTTTCGGATTTTCGTACGTTGCATCGACCGCAGTGACTAACGGGCTCACCAGTGAAAGACGTCAGCCTCATCGCGAGGATTATGCGAACTGCGAACGCGCTTCCTAGCGCGTGTGCGACCCGTTGTTGTTTGAATAATCGTTAGTCTTGTACCATCCCAGAATACCAGGGCAGAGGGGTCGACGTGGTAGTCGCGTCAAAGGCTCCAGCAGCATGAGTTTCTTTCGATCTGGGTAACATGTGCAGAACCGCCTTCCATATGCGCCCGGGTTGCCCTTGATCGCGGTCAAACCTCTTGCTGTTGAAAGCCACAGGATGAGTATCTTGTTGACACCAGTTTGGATTTACATTCTCTCGTCGTGCTTCCTTAGCCACAGCAGAAAGGTCCTGAGGTCGGAGATACTGCTGTAGATGTGAAAAGTTTGGCCCCGAGTGTGCGTTCGAGCACTGACTGCCACAATCCTTTCGAGCAAAAGCATGCCACGAAATTTAGTCACATTGCCTATATCACAGCCAAGAACGACTGCCGAGGTATTTTTTGCATGTGACTTATTTTCGCAATGTTTTGGACAATCGGATCAGGCTGTATCATAATATTGATATAGTTAGCTCCCGCGATGAAGAGACAAAAATTGAAGACGTGAAGGCTCAAATTTCCACGAAAAATAAGAAACAGGGTTGAGAAACATACCTCAATCTAGACCACACAAAGAAACTTCTCAGCAAGTAAACAGGAGCGAGCGCTACCTTCATAGAGGGAACGAGGGGTTTCGGGGGAGTGTCGAATATTGAAACATCCTACAGCCCCCCCCCCCTCTCTCCCCCTCTCCCATGTGCTCCCCACCCCCTCCCAGTAATACTCTAGTGCGTTTGTTTCAACCCTCACTCATGGGGTGGGGGCACAGGACCTTGTAGCGATAGTAGACAAGCAGAAAAACAAAGAAATAGGGAACTTGATGTCAGAAATTGAACAGCGTACGCTGAGTTTTCAGACCACAATAAGAACTGGAGGCTGGACCGGAAATGGGCGTTTCTTAAACGCGGGCGCTAACTGTACTGATAGCCCAGATGAACAATTGGCGATTGGCGCGAATCGCGCTGGTCCCAGAGTATGGGCCATTGATACAGTTCAGCAGTAGTACGTCGTGAAGAGGGCCCATCCAGGCTCTTGGTGCCGTGCACTGTATTTGCAGTGTGGGCTTGAACGACGAGAAATAGCACTGCTGCCGTGTAGAGGTACGGTACGTCGAATATATTTTTTTGTGGTTTGCTTCTAGCGCCTCCAACAAGGGTTTCTTTGTAATCCCCTCTCTTTCAAGTTGTTTGAATCGTTTGGCGTGACTTAAGTCACTTGCGACTGATTGCTTCATTGCACCGTGTCGTTCACACCACGGGTCGTCAAATGTTACAAAAACACCACCACAGTACTGCAGTTTTTTTTTCATGATACCGTTCTGTATCACCTTCCGCAACCGCTGTGCGTTGGCAGGTGTCATCTGTAAAGAAACGGGTGCGAATAACAGGCTCAGGGAACTTAAAGCGGGGGCAGTCAGGAATGCGTCACATCACTGGACCCAAGCCCCGGTCTCGCTTGAGAAATTTGGGGCAAACAAAACTGATCCTGGGAAAGCAGAAGAAGAAAGTCTTGTGGATGTTGGGTGGGTAGTGGGTAGCTTTGCTGGTGGTACTCAATTTTCGGCAGTCTGTCAGCCCCCGCGAAAGACCCAGTGAGGCAATCAGGGGTCAGCAGTGAAGGAGGAGGACCACCGGCTCCAACGAAAAAGCTCTTGTTCTAGGAGTTAGTGAGAGCGTTCGGTGTTGGGTAGGGACGGCGTTTGAAATTCCCTGAAGTGTCACGCAGCACACTGCTGCCTTACTTTTGCGTCGCTTTAGTTCCAGGTGCAACAGGGTGCTGTGAACGTCTGTCTCTTGCACCTGGAAGCTGGAGGTTGAGGTTGCGCTTGGGTCTTGGCGCTTGAGTTGTACACCCCATCTTGGTTTCCGGCTTTGCGATGAGTTGTGTTGGGTGGTACCCGACCCTGAGGTGGTGCCTGCATGAATAGTCTCGCACATATCATTCAACAACGGCATCAAACACCACCGCGTAATATGCAAGGAGTCGGGAATTCTCTCACAGAATTTTCTCACAACCCCTGTGACCGGTTGTACATGCACAATCTGTTAAATGCGCCGCAAATTCCATCTTTGAAGAATGTTTCCCGCAAGCCCAGTTTTTGACCTTGATTCATTCTCAACGATCTGGCCGGATGAATCCAAGCATGTTCTTCCGCCGCAACGCTCGTGGACATGGCCGTCGGATGTGGCCAATTCAGGCTCTTTCTGGAAGACCAGGCGCATTGGGCACCTTTCTGCGTCGACATACGTTCCGCTTGGTAGGAGGATTTTTTACCGCTATTCTGTTTTCGGAAGGAAATCGATCCGAGCTCAGAACTTCATCTGGGTTTGGGAACAGGGGAAAGCTCCAAGGTTTTTATCTGCCGAGAGTGCCTCAGCCGGAGGGAGCGTGCACAGCTTCTGGCCTCGAGAGCTTCCAAATCGAATCATCTGCATCCCGCCAACAGAACAACAATGCCACGCATTTATTTTATTGAGCGTTCATACAGTCCAGCCTTCAAGGTACTAGCTGAGTTCTCGTTACACATTCGAGCGCCTACGCTGAGCCCAAGCTCACCACATTGCGAGGCCATGTCTCATCTCATCTCAACGTTGGTTCAACATAAGCTGACAGGCCTTTTGCACAGCATGACATTAATCACATGAGCGTTTTTTACTAAAAAGAAAGCACCTTCTACCGTTCATTCTGACGGCAAGACCCGGGCAAGATAAGATGACCTGCGATAGCTCTAGTTCGCATCATCTTCCGAAAAATAGTCACCAAAATACAAGACGGACATTCCATCAAAACCTGAACAACAAATTCAAGGCCAGGGGAAGTGGTTTGCAGTGCATCAACCTTCGAGAGCAACTTGCAATAAACAAAATGAGCAAGCTTCCAGCCGTCCCTTGGCACGCACACCCTACAGTATGTAAAAATCACGAGGCATGCTGGCTGCAAACCACTAGTAGTGCTTTACCCTGCCGCAAACCAAGCGCACGGGTCAAAGAAGTACTTTTCATACGATGAAGCATTCGTAGTATCACGTGGCATTCCCGCCGTGCGATAGCTTGACCAAGACGTCAGGCGCATGGTCTGTCGCCAGTCTTCGGGCTTCCCCGACCTTTCCACCAACAGCTCCGCCCAGAGGATGAAGTTGGTGGACCTGGGCACACGATAAGCCGATTGTGGGTGAAATTTAACGTCATTCGCGCCGCGGGGTAAAAATTAGACCTCATGTCCGCGAACGCTTTCTCATACGGTACCATAGACAATACTGGGTAAACTTCATGGCTCACAACATGAAGAAAACTCACATCCGGTTTACCGGTCGTCAAGTGTTACCATTGACACCTAAAAAAAAAACAAGACGAACGCTGACCTCTTTGAATGGCACAGCTCTCTCTGTTGGCCCTTTAGACAGCTTTGGCCGGCCTCGACGCTGCTGGTTCGTCTCCTCCCCTGAGGCTGCGTGAGTATTCAAATCGCCTTCCCGAGGCGTGCGTTCAAGAGATTAGGAGCTTGTCAGGCAACATATTGCCGAAGAAATCGCGCCCGAAAAACACATCAGATCTTCGGTCTCAAGTCTCAAACCACGAACGTTCGTTCTGATTAGGTAAATTATCGCGTCAGTCGAAGTGTATTTTTCGTAACATACATCAATATCAATAGATGCCCGTGACGCAACCTCGCATTTGATACAACGACAATCAGATCCACTTCAATAGGTGAACCAAAATACGCACGTACTGTGCGTTCGCGTACTCCCACGCTCCACACATACACCGCACACCGCTAGAACGAAAGGCCTGCATCTAGTGGGCATTTGCGTGTTTGTGTTGCACGGGTGCCTGGGTTTTCGATTAGCTCATGTGTTGCTTGGCTCCCGCATGATCATTGACATCTGAAAATGCATACACGGCGACACAATAAACAGCGACCTCTGGTTGCGATGTGGCTATAATTTGCATTTCACTTCGCATAGGCACGGACGGTGTGAGTCAATCAGACGCCGCATGCTCGTACGTAGTGTGACTACGTCACGACACAACTGTCTAACAGAGCCTCACTCGGCTTGTTGCGCCACGCTGTCAGCAAATATATTGTCGTTTCTACTACACTCTCAGATAGATGCCTTGGACATTTTCAATCCGGACTTGATCAAGTCTGTCGCTTCAGTTCTTAAAGTGAGATTCGTTTCCAGGTTTTGTTCCTTGAATACAACACACTACCGATCGCAGCAAGTTGTGGGGGGAAGAAGAAAGTAAACGGTCATCAACGACAAGAGTTAAGCGACTTGGCATTGGGAAGAACACACATCGGACCGGCGGTTTGTTAACCTCAGACACTAACCTATATTAGCCTCATGGCTGGTAACCGTGTCCTGTGGACCTACCGGTGATGGCGATGGTTTTGTCATCACTTGCAGGTGGTCGTAGCTCATCGCCCTCGTTTCCGTTGATGGGCGGTTCGTCTCGCGCTTCCAAATCGCCTGGAGTTGCGTTTAATGGCAACAGTCAGTGACAACAATCAACACGGAGGCTTACGAGCGGGCAGCACTTTAGTGTTTGTGTTCAAACCTGTTCGACCCTGCAAAATACAAGAAACGCAACAAGTCCAATACAACATGAAACGGCTATTCATAGGTTGGTGCGCCAATGGCGTGCATCGCCATCCAAGTGCACTTGGCTGCAATTCGGCACCATGTTAAAAAAATTGGAAGGTTCGCAGCTGTCCGTTCGCACAACGGTTTTCTCACCTATGCAAGCGTTGAATATGCCCATCGTTTCACGTATCCAAGCATCGGCTCCTTCGTTCCCCGCCAGTGCTGTCAAATGAGGCAAGATAGCTCGCGCGTGATCCTGCACGACCACGAGACGACACAACGTTAACTGTTGCAGCTGTGTTGATTGAGATTCAGACCACGCCAACAAGAGGAGAGACACGACCAGCGCTACTATCGTCTATCGTCTGGACTTTAGACTCCTCGACCACTCTTGTGACCTGCTCTCAGTCTTTCCGTTTCATCCTGTCGTAGCGGCAAAAGAGCCAGCATCCCTCCACGGTTGCGCACTCACCAACTTCCCAGCACGACAGCACATCTCTACGGCTGCGCCCAGACTGCATGGATCTGGTTTGGATGGTTTCACTTGCTGCGACTGCCGCAACACTTGGAGGCCTTTCCTCCACTCCCCCGCGGAACTGCATGCGCGAATGGTGGCCGCCACAGCGAATCCCGCCGGGCGCATCCCTTCCTCGTGCATCTCCGTCAACAATTTCATTGCACCCTCCCAGCTGCCAGCCTGTGATGGTGAGGGCATTGAAACGCGGTGATCAGGGTACTGTGGTATTTGGACATGTCTCAAGCTGCAATCGCATGACCCTCACCAAAAAGAGCAGACCTCTTGCCTCGGTGACAATGAATGGCGCAGCTGTGCCACGTGTGGTGCTGCGAACACGACACCAAAGGGGGGCATATTGGGGCCATGGTAGAGATACCAAGTTCTGACACGCGGGCAGTTCAGGAAACAGATACAACTCAGGGCGTGTTGACCCCTGCACAGCAGCGCGTTACCGCACCCACCGCCACGACTTTGCGGTCATGAACATATGAGAGATGGCCTGGTTCTTCATTAGCTTCATTAGACTAGAGGGCGCGTTGGTAAGGTTCGCTCGATCATGTCGTTCAAGTCATCTCCAAGGACTGCTTCAGCAACTTTGTAATCTTCTTGGAAAGGACCGCGCCTTCTGACGCACCTTGCCACACGCCCCAACCGCGCAGTTGTAGCTTCTCACACCAGGTTTCAGGCCGATCTCTTTCATCTCCTCGAAAAACTCCAACGTCTTGTCCGTGCGGCCGCCTTCTCCTGTCGCCCGAAGAAGGGCCATGTAGAACTTCTCTGTCGCCCGGACACCGTCTACCTTCATCATCTTCTCACCAAGGAGTACAAAGGAGAACAAAAGCCGCCGAGCCAGGCAACGATGAGAAAAGGCGTGTGATGCCGAATCAGAAAAATACATCCTGAATATAGGTAGATCCCTATCGCTTGAAGCGACGAACGTGGGACGGGGAGTTAGTTCAATGCAACAATTTTCGTGCGACTTCAGGAGCGTCCTAAAAGACGCACTTTCCCGTAGCACCGGGATCCCAGCAGGGCGACAAAGCTAACCTAATCAAACAACTGCAGCCGGGTCGAGGCCAAGGTGGTCCAGTTGGTATCCTCGGAGCACATTTTGAAAGATGGGTCGTGACCTTGATTTTCAGCCGAAACTGAAAATCAATTTTGCACCTAGCACGGGCAACGCGCTCAGTCCGTGATCATGCTCGCGGGAAGGAGCTGCGCTACCCGTTTAGTGTAAACAATACGCAAGCACAGGACAGGGATAATGTACCACCCCGAAGCGGGGGTCTTGTGCAGAGAAGACAAGACGAAGGTGCCATGATGGGAGAAGCGAGCGATGATACCAAATGCGACCGATATCTGTGCACACTGAAGCATACATCACCCGCGGTCTCGTAGAACACAACTGCCAAGGCGAAGGCGTTGTGAGGAGGACCGCGTGAATGTTGAAAACCGACATTCAGAGGGGAAACGAACACTGCTGAGGGCACGCACGCGGGGGACGTTTGCATGCATACCTCCATCAAGTTCGTCGCCTCCTCCCACTTCCCTGCTCTCGCGCATGCTTGTGCGGTGGCGACATAAACAGAGGCTGATGCGGAGGGGCCGTACTTTCGCGTTTCGTGCAGAAGGGCTAGTGCCACCTCCCATCTCCCGCCCCTCCCGCATCTGTCAGAAGGTGGGGAAGCCGTCAAGAGGGGCAAGCACCCGTCTAAAACAAATGTCAAGGTTGTCTGTTGTCTCTGGCAAGCAGGTGTGAAAACGGATGTGCATGCACACCAGGCTGCCCTTGCGGTAGGACCTTCACGTCACCAAAATCAAGATTTAGGTGATTCGCCGATAGTGAAGGACGGGCCACTCACGCAGAGATGACGCTTGAAAGGGACAGCACGGTCGGGGGGTATCCAGCGGCGCGCATTGCCTTGATCAACGCAACGGAGTGTCGCCACTCTCCCGCCTGCGGACGTGCAGATCAAGCGCACACAGCAGGGGTGTGTCAGGGATGGCGTGGCATCAAGTCACACACCTTGAGGTGCAGTCGAGAAGCCACCGGCTGTTGTATTGGTTAGTATCGCAAGGAGCAGACTTTGAGGTGGGAAAGAAGAGAGGGATCAAGAGAGAGGGACATGCAGCCTGAAAGTTCGCACCTCAAAAGCTGAGGCGATACAAACAGCTGATAGAGACACCGTGCTAAGCACATGAGGCTTAACACCAGGCAACCTCGTGCAGGAGAGATGTCTACCGATCGCCCCGATACCGAAAGCCCGAATTGGTAAATGTGGTGCAGTGATACACAGACTGCTGAGCGCTACTCGGGTTGACGCAAAATCAATGCCTTCCTTGACTTTGCTAAGTTTCCATCGCCCGTGAAAAGCAACGACACCTGTTCCCTTCAACTGACCTTGGAACAGCAGTCAACGGCAGCCTTGAACGCTACGTCAGTTGGGGGGTTGCCGTCTGCCTTCATCTCTTCCAGCAACTCGAGCAATAGTGGCCACTTGCCCGCTGTGCCAAGAGCATTTGCCTGCCCGTCTCACAGCAAGAAAAGTATTCCAGCAGTGGTGGGCGTTCTTTGCATTGTTGCTGAGATATAGGAGCCTGCTTGTTAAATGGTAGACTAGCTAAATATGATCATCTTGGGGACACAAGCAGACCAAGTTGTGTCTAGTCGACGCGACCACACAAATTTTGCAATATGGGACCTTCAACGGTAAGACTTGTGTTGAATATGCTGCTGTGTGGCGCAGGCACGTATCCATACTTGCTTTTCTCCCACACCCTACTGTCCATTATCTGGTTGGAAGTATCAGATCGCTTCTGGCCCACAGAAAGTACCTCTCCCTCCCACCAATACCAGGAGTCCCGTTCGCCGCCATTCGTCGTTCTTGCGGTCTGTTTTCCTCTCTCGTCGTACTGGATTCGCAGTGAAACATGTGCAATCTGAGGATGCGCCATGGGAAAACAAATGTTTTCACATCGAAGTCTTCGCCAACCAACCCACTCTGAATGAAGTCTTCATACGTATCGTGACAAACTCAGGGTGGCGGCCGAGCGCGGGTGTATTAAGCAGTTACCACACGAGGTTCGCAGCATTTTGGTGCTGCCTGTCTCACCATGGCACCGAAGCTAATCCGATCTGGAGAGAGACCTAGCTCACGCATCTCCTTCAGTAGAGACAATGCTAGCTCCCATTGCCCTCCTCGACCGCACGCGTGGATGGCGGAGTTGTATGATATCTCATTCGGCTGTAGGGGACAGGCAGCATGCGAGAAAACTTGTTCAACATGCTAGACGTTTTGTCCCGTAACATCGACGCTACCAATGAGCACCGTGAGCAAGCTAAACCGCCAGATTGTTTCAGGCTGGTAATGCCTACACTCAAGTGTCGCTGACATATTGAAGCGCCTCGCCTCGACAACGCCTCCCTTCACAAGAATCGACCTCCCAAGCAAAAGCTGGAGTCACACAACAACTTAACAGGTGGGCGAGGAATGCAATGTACGTGCGGGAAGTGCCACAAGGACGAACGACCGAAAGCAACCATCTTGTCTTGACTCCGAGGGACGCACCTTCACGCCAAGCCCCGCTCTCGTCATTTCTCTGAGAAGCGCCACAGCCTTCTTCCACTCCCCGCCCCTCCCAAGCGCGTTGATGGTGGCGTTAAAGCTCACAGTATCCGCCTCCAGAGGCTCTCCGCCTTCTTTCACTTGGCCAGCTCGCAACTCCGCCAAAAGATCAAGAGCAGTGTGCCACTCCGCCACTTCCGCGCAACTGCCGTCGTCGAGGCAGAACGCACCGGGAGACAAAGGGGAGGCAGATATGTACTGGTATATATTCAAAGACTGTATGCCCGCCTCCCCACTTTTCGTTTCAGCACGATACACCGGTCGGGACGTCGAGCTGGAATGCGATGCGCAACTAGAACGACGCATCACGTAAACGCAGCAGCAACTGACTCACGCTTTGATGGCAATGTTGAACGTTCGCGAATTAGGTTGTTGCCACTGCGGGGAATCCTCCGACTGCATCTCCTTGAGCATTTTGAGAGACGTGCGCCACTCTCCGGCGATTCCGCACCTGCGGCATACCCACATCGAGAAAATTTTATGTAAGCAAGAGAGCAGCGGAGACTGCAAAAGTGCCTCCCACGTCTACCATCTACCGTCTACCATCTACTTTTGTTCGCCCGCCACTACCATCTACTCTACTCTCTCGGCTTCTCCACGGATTTCCAATTTGAGGTGGTCACACATCGCCATTCCGGACGCAGTCTCGTCACCTTTTCGTGACACATGCATGTCATGCCTCCCTGTCTTTCTGCCTCGTAAAACTACTTTTTTCGCGTTTGCAGCCCAGTAATGATCAAATTATCTGTCTGCCGCGTACTACCATGATCGGTAACAACGAATACAGGGAGCGCTAACACTTACGCATCTATGGCAGCGTTGAGGGTGACGGTGGTAACCAGCACCCCTTCCCGCTCCATCTGTCGGAGAAGAGCCAGGGCTTCCTGCCACTTGTGGGCCTTGCCACAGGCGTTTATCGCCGAATTGAACGCATAACCGTTTGGCTGGCAAACCGAATTGCGCGCAAGGGTGGAAATATCTCAGCGTGTCGAAAGCACTTCAAGACACAGCGTACCGCTTGAGTGGGTCCTGGTGATACGAAGCCAACACGGAAAACTGGGGCTCTTGTCGAATCTAACCATACCATTCCATTCGTCTTACTCTTCAAATCGCCTCAACCTTTCAACTTTCGTACCATCCGAACAGAACGCAAGAACTCTAGCCAGAGTTGAAACGCTGGGAGACTCATCCATTTCAAACGCCCCAACGGGGAAGCAGAGAGTACCCGTTTGAACAGTTTAAGCGTACGAGGGTAATAAGGGATGCAAACGCAGGCGGGAAACGGTACCACTATACCCACCCCGCTTACCTCTACTCCGGCTTCCCGCATCTGCCCCAGTATCTGGCACGCCTTCTTCCATTGCGCAGCTTTCGCACATGCATCGATGCAGCCGGCATAACTGTACACATCCGGCGACAGGTCGTCACTCTTCATACTCTCCACCAAGGCAAGCGTCTCTCGCCACCTTATCCATGTAGCGCACACCGCGGGACAAGGGGAGGCACATGCTGCTTACTTACGTGTCCATCTACAACGTGCGGGCCTACACGACACAGCCATTCGCTGAAGAGCCCAAGAAAGCTCAGTTTCAAAACTTGTTTGATAGCAGTAGTGTTCATCGTTGACGTGCCCATCGCGCCAGTGCGCTGCTTAGTTTGGGAGACAGCTGAACGTGTTGATGGCATGATTCACAATGCTAGACAATTATATTCAACGCTGCGTGACAGCCAGTTTCTCTCGCGTGCTTGATCGTCGCTGTGTTCTTGGGCAATTAGCTCATAAGGCTCGCGATATTGCCAACCGTATACTCGAAGTCATCTCGCGCACGAACCTGCCGCTCTTGGCAATAGCAATGATTGCCTTGTTGTAAACCGTCCGGCTCATCGGCATCTGCTCGTTCCTTGCAGAGTCCTACCATAAAACCGCGACGGACCACAGGAAGCAAACACAGGAGAGGATAAGACAACACATCAACTGCTACATAACAGATACCGGGAGGAACACGCCGTGGGCGATGACATAGATCTACTTGGTAGTACGCTGCAAATGAGAACTATTAAATACTTCCGCACGAAGTAAATCTCGGGGTTTTCTCCCGTTTCGCGCACAGTCTCATTGCGCTCGTGTGCTCCAAGACACGAAAACGGCCATGACACCGTTGGGTGTTCCATGCAGAGTACTCTCAACACTCCACTTCATCTGCTGGCCTCTGCCAAACGCCCAATCAACCCTAATTTATTCTATCCACATATTCACCGCCCCTTCACAGCAGTGCCTCGACCTCTCCCAGGATTTGGTCTCTCAACTCAAGGGCTCCAATCTGCGGTCGCGTTGTACATAGTCTAGAACTTATAGTGATGCCGTGTCATGCCTTCCTTTCTAGCCAGATGAGGTTGCGGTAAATCCTTCACGGAAGGCACAAGCGGCTTTGACAGCAGTATGCATAAGACGATGCAATGTGGAAACAACGGAGCAAGACATCGTGCTGCTTCTACAACAGTTGTTGGAGGGAGGCTTCCGGTGTACCGTATTGGAGATTGGATATATGTGCACTACCCTCATGTTTCGGACGAAATCATACCACAGCCGTGGTGGATAGCACCTGTATGCATGGCACGCCTATGTACGACGTATGTCCTACGAATCAACCACCCGTCCCGATGTCCTCTTGTGTACCGACCGCCGCCAGAAACATCAAGTGGGAATTCCCTGTTCCGGTGGTGCAATGGGTTTCAAGTCCCACGTGCTGCTGTAGAGTTGCGCATGTTGCTGCGTTGCAGCTGACATGTTTCGTAGTACCATGAAATCAAACCACGGACCAGGAGAACGAGGAGAGACCTACATGGCCCTGACGTCTTCCTTGCACCTATCACGGACGCAGCACCGGACGATCCGACTGAAAGTGACTTAGATGTCCTGTCCTGCGCATAAGCTACACGTTCAAGCTCTCGCTCTCCCTTTCCTCTCTCACTCACCATGGCCGCCAGCACCCCTCGCCAGTCCCGCCTGGCTTCCAGAGTACGTAGCCTCCTTATCAGAGCTTGCTGCTGCACTTGTATCGGGCTGAGCCTATGTCTCACAAGTCCCTTGTCCTCCCTTCGTGCGTCTCTCGTCAAGGTCCTTGCTATTCCCCCGTCCAAGGTACTGCAAGGATCGCCTGCTGTGCCGTCATGCCGGTGCACTGCTGAGCCTTCCTCGCCCAGCGGCATCCCCGCACGAAGAGGTGGAATCGCATGACGGTATGGCCTTCTGCCACCAAGGTAACCGCCATGTTCTCTACCTTCTTCACCACAAGGGCCAAAAGCGTGGGTGGACCCAGGCAACGCACGCCTCCTAACATAACCGAGCGCATGCACTGCTGAGGCGTCTCTCTGCAGTCGTGGGGCCTGGACTACCCACGCAGGAACGCCATGTCCGACAGTTGGTCTCCCTCGCATTCGTCACAGCCCGAAAATCTTCGAGAGCCACACGCGTACGAGGAAGGGGTGAGTGTGCGCGTGAGCTTGTCTCTCTGCTTGACCGCAACGTGCTTGTACAACTGGCCATGTGCATGCATGCTGCTGGTATCAAGGTGCTTGGAGGAGGGGGCGCAAGGACAGGAAAGGGGCTCCCCATAAACAAGCGTATTTCACCGGAGCCCCTAGGATAGGCAGGTGCACGGTCTTCTGTCTTCTGGAGAACGGAAGAAGCAAAATCAGATTGTAGAACACACTACCATACCATTGACGAGTAGGGCAAGGAGTGTGCGAAGAGTACAATCGAGGTGCCGCACTTGTATTGTCGGCTTTTCCACTGCTGGTGGTTGCCTGCGCGTTGACAGCAGCACAGCAAGGCAAGGATGGATATTGCAACGCAGCAGGAGTACCCAGGCCTAAAGGATGGCGAGATCTCCACAGGGGTGAGTCTTTCCACTCTCTACTCTCGTCTCTTCTTCACCGAAGCACGCAACACGGGTGAAGAAAACTGTGCTTATTTATCTCCCATTGTTGCAGTATTCCAGGCACGCAATTCATGGTTGTGTACTCTACCATCCATGGTCAGTCAGTGGGAACTCGACCAGCTTTTGTGTACTTCTGTAGATTCGACATCCCCACCTTGCCTGACCTCACTTCACCACAGCACTATGCACTCCTGTTCCAAACCCGGGGCTGTCGGGATCCTGGTCGGGTTGTGTGTACTGCTGCTGTGCATGCTGTAGTACAAGGTTTTGTGCGGTGGGCGAATAGTTGGTGTGCCTCTATGCTCTTTGCATATGCATATTTCAAGTTGAGTCCAAGGTGTCTGTAGATTTCTATGCATTTAGTCCATGTGCGACGTACTCCGTAATCCACAGGTACACTCTACCTCCGGTCGCCCCGGTGGTCTAGTGGGTAGCCTCGCAGCCTGCTAAGGGCCAGGTCATGGGTTCGAGTCCCGGCAAAGAGAGTTTTTTCTCACTAAATAAATCCTGGTCTAGGATGAAAGCGACGCGCTGCAAAGATCGTTTGTTAGTAAACCATAATCGACTTCGTATGTCGCGAGGGAAGGGATTGCTGTACCCTTCTCGCGATAAAAATACCTCAGGCATGAACCGCAGGAGGGGGTCCAACACCCCCCTCCTATGTGACCCCGGTTGGGTCGTCTAGCTAGTAGAAGTGGAGGATAGGGGCCAGAGGGGCAGACGACATAGTCTAATGATGGGAGAAAAACAAAACAAAAAAAACCGTAGCTGTAGGTTGCAGCAAATACACAGCAAATGTACTCTATATTGCAGAGGCGGGTGTCCGCCTTCCTGTACTCCCGGGTCGATCTGAACTCGGCATCTTGGGGAACGCTTGTTCTATTCATATGTGCTGCGCACGGTTTGTAATTTGCGTACATAAACCGCGCGGGTTAGCCTGTTGGTTGACGAGAACCTGGCGTGGAATATCCCTCAGTACAGCAGTGACAATGTGTGTGCGCATGGAGTAATGGTACAAGGTTTGTACTGAACCGAACTGGAACGATTGTTAGTGGGACGACGACGACAACAATAGCAAAACAAGAAACAACTTGGTGCACATTGAGCTTTCCAGCAATTCTTAGCCTCGTGGAATGTGGCATGTCCGAGTAGTCCATTGCTAGACTGAAATATGAAACAACACGGTAATGTCCGCCCTCGGACGTGCTGTATTCATCGGTACAATTCGGAGGTCTAGACTGCTGCCCTCCTGACTGCATGGTGTGCACACCGCTGTTTGTTGGAGAAAAATATCAAATATGCATGCTAAAGGTTTTCGTTGGTAGCTTGAGATTATAAGAATCGTCTGGTCGCGGTTCAGTTTCCCTTGTAAGAGGTGGCGGAGGTCGAGATCGAGCTGGTCACCATGTTGTTGTGATTCACACGATGTGGTAAGATTCATTTATGCCAAGAGGAGGAAGAAGAATGTTCAGTTGCGACTTGCAAAGTGTGCCTGTCAAGCTGTCAGCAACGCGGCAACGCGCCCGGCAGGACATCTGATTCGGCTGACGCCACGGTATGTGTTCCACCACTGGAAGTATTTTCTATAGGAAACCCTCGGCTCTACTTCATTTACTGCCTTTGGCGAAACGCCTCTTCAAAATGAATGAGTGCAGCGGCCTGTATCCAACATTTTCCACTGCTCTCGTTCCAATACGAAATTGCACATTCAGCACTTTACCAAAGATTTGCCTCGCTATCATTGCACACATGAATGTATTTTTTTATGGCATTGCTTCTTAAGCACTCACACACACTGACTGTAGACGACAGGTTGTTTCCTCATCCCAGTGTAGAGCAATGATGCATTGTGTTGTTTCATAACCCCTTCAAACCCCCCCCCAAAAAAAAACATTTAGGCGACCTGCCCTCAATTGTGCATATTCCTCGGAAGAACGTGGCTATTTTCGGATGGTGCGACAGGTTGAGGCGTTCGTATTGATATGCATGTGTTTGGGCTTTCCCTACATGTACCTTGGTCTCCGTTTGACGTAGTGTACGTCGTTCGGCTTGCTCCTGTTTGTTGCTGCACCTGTACTTTCAGACGACGATCATGGCCGTCCAGTACGATGGTGGGGTCATCATGGGAGCAGACTCGCGAACGTCAACCGGCACTTACGTGGCGAACCGCGTGAGTGACAAGATCACCTCGTTACACGACCACATATACGCCTGTCGCTCGGGATCGGCCGCGGATACACAAGCCATCACGGACTACGTGCGCTACTTTTTGGCGTCACACAGGTGGGAGGGAGCATTTTTCAAGAAGTTTTCGTCTGTCTCTTGTCTCAACCCCTCAACGACATGATCGCGAGTCCGCACGGGCTGTTCTTGGTTCATCGGTGATGTGGCTGTGGCTGTGGCTGTAGCTGAGGCGACAGACACGGTATTGCTCGTTGTGCTCTAGCTCACTCGTCGTACGGACGACTTGAGCTCCTTCCGTAGGCAACGTGGTTGTGGTTGAAGGATTCCAAGGTCGTGGTAGCTTTGGTCCACCAACCAGGGCAGGCAAGGCTTCTTGGGCGAGACCAAGGCACGCACAAGTAGAAGGGTCAAAAAGAGAGAGAGGTCGAGCGGGGCCTCACCGGTGGGTCTCATGCCGATGCTAACAGGTGGCATATAGACATGTAGACAGGCGCATATCCGCCAGTGGTATCCCGATCCCAAAACGTTGTGGGAATGCTTTGAGAATACTGCAGTCTCTAATTACATCTCTTTGCACGCACACATGAATGCCTGCTTCATTCTGGTATCCACATCACCCCTGTTATTCATCGCAAGCCCATCGTGCGAAGATTCGTTGTGGTGGAGATCGGATGCGAGTTATTCATGTTCAGAAACCCAACCAAGTTCGGTGGTTGTTGTCACTCCACAGCACTCGGTGGATAGCAAACACGGCGGCGTTTGGATGAAGTCTATGTGCGAGATGGCGGGTGTCCATATCTGTCCAGACTCTCCCTCTTGTCGCGCATGAGCCGGTGGTATGTAAATGTACTTTTCACGCGACAGCAGCGTCCCTGGCTCTAGTGGGCGAGTGCCCGTCTGTGATACATGCAGCTCCAAGGAAATCCGTTGGGTGATATTGCAGACTTTTGCGTGCCTTCGCTTCCCCCTTTTGAAGGAACTGCCTTCACAACGACGAAGACTTTGAGATAAGTGGTTTTCTGATGCCCCTCTGCTATCTATGTTTTCACCCTTCGCTCTTTCAGTGTGGAATTAGGACGGCTTCCCTTAGTCAAGACAGCAGCAAAGATGGCCCGAGGTCTGTGCTACAACAACAAGGATCGGCTCTTGGCGGGGATGATCATTGCAGGCTGGGACCCGGTGGATGGGGGAACTGTCTACGAGATCCCGTTGGGCGGGACCATGATGAAGCAGAAGTTTGCAATCGGGGGATCCGGCTCTACGTATATGTGAGTAGAATCCGATCCGGCGTATGTTCTCCTCATGCAGCAACGAGACTCTGTTACTGCTGGCAGCACCTGTCTAAAAGCGCGGCAGCGACAAGCTACAATATGAGACACCTAGTGCCCACCTCTCGGGATTTGTCATGCACAACAGAACAGGCACAAATCCAACTCCTGGCATTCACAGGTAGCCTAGCGCAAGTCTGATCCTATGCCCCAAGCTTGCACGGGTTGGCCGCTCGCTGAATAGGGATTGTGTTGAACGTTGGATCTTGTTGACCGCCAACTCTTTTTCTGTTCGGCATGTTACACACCGCATGTCATACCGATTCAATTGCTGGACACCCAAGATATGGCCACGTGGATGCGGCGTTCAAGGATAACATGACGAAGGAGGAGGCGCAGCAGTTTGTGCGCAAAGCGATTTCTCATGCCATGGCTCGTGACGGGAGCTCTGGAGGAGTGATCCGAATGGTGGTTATCGACAAGACTGGGGTGAGCGTAATGCCGACTCTGCAGGGTGTCGAAGAGCAGACTGCGACCAGTAGTATCGAACCTTCGCGCATAGTCCTCCACGATGCTGTAAAGTCACAAAAACTGATTTAGAACAGCATCCTTGTCGGTGATATAATCGTTCCATCTGCACACGGCCGATCGATGCACGTGGTGCACCAACTTTCTATTGCTGTCTCGCGTCTCTCGTCAATTCCCACAGGTTTCACGCGAGTACATCCCAGGCGACCAGTTGCCGTTTGGACCGTAACAATTTCGAGTGCGAAGCCCCGTCGTGCCGTCATTGATCGTATGGAAGGAGCTGCACAAGCATTTCTGTGTTGGTTTGGTTCAACTGTAGCGAAAACTCCATCAGCCGCAGAGGGTAGCCAGGGAGGACAGCTCCGTCGGAAAATGGCTTGAAGTGGGAGAAGCACGTTGCCTGGCACACTCATGTCAGCCACACGAAAGGAGGCAAGGATGATAAGATGGAGACATATGGTACTTGCTGAGCCAAGCGTTGTGCTTTCCGCCGCTTGTCACGTGCCTGAAGGTTCCACACAACACCGGTTATTCCGTGTGTACAACGCATGTTTTATGTGTCTTGTAACGAACATGCCCAAAAGCCCAAAAGCCGGTGCAACCTATTCAGCTGCTGTGACTGCTACGGGTCGCCATTCTTGCAAGTCCCTTAAGTCGTGATGCGCACCAGGAGCTCGCCACTCCACACTTCCAACCTGCCGAACTCTTGATGAAAAGAATTTCCTCCGAGGCAAGCGAAAGAACTTGCGAAGATATGGTTTATCCCCTCTTTCCTCAAGCCTAGCTTGGCCCGGAGCCAGGAGCTGGACCGTTGCCATTCGGGGGCGGGGCTTGTGGTGGGGGAGGGCCTCGTGGCGGCCCGCCTCCCATAAACGGACGTGGTGCACCCATCATGGGTCCGCCGCCCATCGGTCCTCCGCCCATGAATCCGCCCGGGCGTGGTCCCATCATGGGTCCACCGCCCATTGGCCCTCCGCCCACGAATCCACCCGGATGCGGTGCGCCCATCATCGGTCCTCCGCCCATTGGGCCACGCCCCTGATGTTGTTTACAGTTCGCGTTTGAGTGCAGTTCAGGATGTGAGCATGGCAGTACTTGGGTGTTGTCTGCAAAACAGTGAATCACTCACGAAGGACATCCAAACATTATTCTGCGAGGTCATTAAGTCGGCACAACACACCATACACTCACGACAAACAGTTTGGAGATCTCCACACGGACTCATCTAACCCAGCTCAAGCTTGGGCCTTTTCACTTGATACCTACGCCGTCCTTGTGCGTAACGCAAGCGCCACCTCACGAACGACCAAACCGACATGTTCCCTAATTGGGGGTATATACACTTGACAATCGTAACACTACTTCGTACGAAGTAACAATCATGATATGAGCGTTCCGTCGTATGCATACTCGGGATGAAGATGGTTAATCAGAAACGGCCCGTATCGTCTGGTTGAGCCCGGCGCCAGAAGGGGGCCTATTGCTCAAGTCAGTACGAGGGATAGTACGAAAGTGAGTTGATTGCATTGCGAACACTGCTGATGTCACATCAGGTTTAGGGCATGCACGATCGTCTAGTAAATGGACTCAATGGGGAGAAATCGTATCCGTCAAGACGTTACCTGGGCGTGAAAAAGAGCTGCAGTTTTCAAATCGCAATATCACTCTAGTCAAGGGTAAGAAATTAGCTGAAAACTGCGGCGCACTCACTCCCATTCCAGGCATTAGTGAGTTGTTCATGGGGCCCATGCCCAACGATCCTGAGCCCATCATCGGCCCTCTGGGACCAGGGCCACCTTGAGGACCCATAGTCATCGGTGCAGTTGGCATTGCGCCACTCCCAACGCTGGGCCCTGCACCTGTTACACCAGGCACCATACATTCGGCCATCTTCAGTGATAGGAGATACGCGGGTTCATTGGAAGAGGTGATGCGGAACCCCGAAACGAAAACACTACGACATGGCTACTTGATCCTGTTGTACGTGGCTACTCCAACTGCTCGCGGTATTCATGAGTACCATGGAGACCTGCAGTATGGCCTCGACCTTTCCGAAAAAAACTGTCATGAAAGAGACCCACGCAAACAGAAGCGCCAGCCGACAGGCATGGACGCGCAGATAGCAAAATATGGGATGGAAACGAAGTACGACAGTAAGTGCTATCTGCCTTTCCATGGGGTACACAGGTAGTAGGCCCTCGCACGAGCGAAGGGCTCCTCACTCACCACCGTTTGCAACTTGTTGCTGAACGAACTCATCCAAAAACTGCTTGTAGTGCAGCTTCACGTTATCGGTGTGCTTCCATCCTGTTCGGCGTGGAATGCATGGATGAGTGAGTGCATTGCAGATAGGACCAATCATGCAGTATCGCTGATGCGGAACGTTCTTCCTACAGAGCGACAGGGATGGGCATGTTTTCTGTGCTCTGAAACGCGGCTGGCTTGCGGTAGGGACATCGTCGGGAAGCCTGCGTGACAACTAACACACAAGCCGGAACCAACATGCACACCGCTACAGTCGTGACTCCACTAAAAGCGGGTACCGAGTGAGAGGGGGTCACGACGCAAGACGGTCGAAATCGGTTGTCACAGAATCGACCCGCCACGTAGGGTTACCCTCTTAGATTGAGACCAAACCCTCAATAGTGGGGTCACCCCAACACCAGGACAGAACGACCGACTGTAATATATGTGTGTGGCTCCCTCGGCTCCTTCACACACACATAGCATAGCCTCCCCCATGACGCCCCCTCACAGGATCCCAGATCATGGCCCTTGGAATTATATTTTGTTTTCAACCGCACTGAGACGTCTTTTCATTGGTCACTCGTTAGGGCGGTCCATGCTTACAATAAAAAACAAACACCACCACGAGAGCGTTGCCAACGCCATCCACAATCGGTTGGTTTACTGTTGGGATGCCGATTCAGTCTGTCAGTCCACTACACGCGCACAAACTCATCAAATTTGTCGAACGATGCCCATCTCGTTGATGTGACCCGCCCTTTGCTGTAAAACAATAATCTTAACGGTTGGCTTCTTTTCCTGTCTTCACTAGGGCGCATGAGAGTTCGTATGCACTCCGAAGTTGCAGCTGTATCCGTCAGAGGTAATTGCCCTACCCAGCGTTTCGAACAACACCTTGTCCGCTTTTCTACTTCTATTCCACTTGGACATGCTACTCGTAAGGTTGGATTTTCTCTCCTCTCTTTCAGATGATGTTTGAGGGGCAAGACTGTTGTCGTTCTCTCTCATTATTTTCCACGGCCCGCCAAATAATGACACCATTCGCTCAACCGTTCCTGACACGTTACATTCATGTTGGAGTGACTTCTATGAAGGGTAGCTACACCGGCGGAGGATTGCACGACGTTACCAAATAAATGTCCTCAACTGTCAATTGGGAAGACTACACCTACTTTCGTATAATCTTAACCGCATCCTGTGATCGTCAATTTGGGATAACAAACTATCTACGGTCATCTCCACCCATTTCGACAGCATGAACGGAGCTTGAAACACCCGTCCGTCTAGTATCTACTGGTAATAAACATCTCAACCTCACCACATCGTGAGGATGCGACAGATGGCACCGCCGTACGTAGACCGACTTCAAAGCTCGATTGTTCTACAATCAAGTAAGTGGGTGCAGAGAGAGCCCGATATTTCTACGAAAAGCCCTTGAGATGTCTACAAAACCACAATTTTTGGTGTTTGCACAAGCTTAGCGGAGGAGCAATCGAGCTTTGAAAATCGGTCTAGGGTGGTACCATCTCTCGTATCATTACGGTACTTCTCCACCTCCACATCCGTCACGTTCTTGCCGCCCGCCCCCTTCGCCCGCCCCTTGTTGGGGTGTTGGGGGATACAGGATATTGTACGCTGTTCTGTAAGTGCCGTTGTCTCTCGTTATTCCCGGTTTTCCCTTTACTGTAAAAAGGTGTCGAGGACGGTTGTCACACCACCCCCTCGACACAGAGCTGCAGCAGTGTGAACCTAAAACCGCCGTCGGATGAAACGGCCACTGCGTACATTTCAAATGTACATGTGTATCAACCAGCACAGAGCAAACGGGACTATCATCAGTTGGGTGCGACAAAGGGTTGCCTATGCAGCAGTTCGATGCTGCCCAGCTACTTATGAATCATGCTTGTGACGTGGTCGTGCAGTGCGAGAATACCACTCAATACACGAGGGGTTTGGTTCCCCACTGTGCAAGACTACTTGTAATCTTGTAGCAGATGCGGCCGAATAGGGCTGGCTGTGCTCACTGCTGCGCAACATGGTTGCTAGACATAAGCTATAAATAGGTGGCACTACGAGGAACCAAACGAGAAGTGCAAACATGTTTATCTCTATGGCAAAAATAGCGCCACTGCTGCTCCAAGGGCTACCCAGCATACATGGACTCGATGCCCTCTCCCCTGCCGCTGTAACTACATCTTTCGTCTAGGAGATCGAGCGCTGATTGGGATCCAAGTACAGAAGGTGGTCAAAGAGGCCTGGTGGGCAACGAAAGGATAGTCAAAGACGTTAAATGATCGCATTTCAATGCCGTGAACCGATCCAAGTCGAAACTTTTGCCAACAAATACTAATAATTACGACTATGTAGGCCCACTCGAGTGGCACGGGGTAGGTGTGTTTCCACTGTCAAAGCACACCACAATGGCTTGCTGGCGGCAACCTTGGCTTTATGTCGTCTGCGCTATTGTCGTACAAACCTACCTCGATTGTGCTGGCGTCGTCCA